CAACATGTCCCTCTCAGACTCCGCCACAAAGATAAATATAAGACAGTGGGTGCAATTTTGAAGAGACACGGACCTACTCACAATGGTAAATGTCAGAACGAATTTTTCATGGGAGGAGTATGTTGTAATTGCATTTTTCGCCCCAAGAATGTAAAATCTGGCCTCCATTGTCTCCTTTGTTTTCTCGCACTCATCAGCCTTTTCCTCCTCGGCATTTCTTTTCCTTACACTTTGGGGGTATATAAAGGGGCTAAGTTGCTTCTTATTCTTCACTACACCCTGAGTCCCTTCAGCTGAGTCTCATCGTTTTACAAGTGGCTACTCACATCAGGTAAGAAACAGTAGTATTATAGTTAAATTTTGTAAAGCTGTAAGAGCTCAACTGTTCTGTATAACTTAGGACGTTCAGTTCAACACAGTCTAGTGACTGCGTAAAGAAGTCACACTGCGACATAAAACACTTCTATTGCCACTCTCGTAAGCAGTAGAAAAATATGGCAAGAGGTAGGGCCTAGATCTAGTTTTGGTGAAATCAAGAACGAAGGGTCAAAGTTAATTTCAACGCCCTTTCTCCATATTTTAAATAAATAAGTTAAAGTCGTCTCTTGTGAAAACACCATGACGACCTTAATGTGCCCATCATTGACAGTGAATCTCTTCATCTCAAATGTTTTTAGTGCAGCACTGGTTCCATGGTTCCTTGTGTAAATATGGTGTACCACGGCGAGCCTGTATGACATAGGCTAGCATCTTCCGTTCCAATGTCGATGTTCAGTATGTAAAATATTATATTTGGAGCGTGCCCAGGTCTTATTGAGCAAATTTCAGTACCGTACATTTTCTTCTCGAACTTGTCCTATATTAATAATAATGATAATGATGATGATAATAATAATGATAATAAAAATACGATAATAATAAAATAATAATGTAAATAAAAATAATAACAGTAATAATAACAATTGCAATTGTAAAGTGCATATCCACGCTCAACCCTACAACTTAAATAATAACAATTATGTAATAATAATACAGCACACTGACTAGGTCATACCGACTTTCCCGTGGAACAAGAACACATGTCTATTATACTTCGTTCTACTTTCTCAAGAATAAAGTCTTTAGCTTTAGGTCTCAATTTAAGATAGAAGCATATAATCTCCTTGCGACAGGTTATGTGCACCAAGCTAATCCTAGCTATGAACACATATTCACAGTGTCCCTCAACATAGATTAAAAATGGAAGAAAAAATGAATGAAAGGAGGAAGGAAAGAAGGAAAGAATGTAAATAAATAAAACAATGAGAGGCTCAACAAATGAACGAAGGAAATGATGAGAGAATTATTTTTATTTCAATTCAGGTTTCAACGTACAAGATCTTTATAGGTGTAACTTAAAAAAACCCACCAAAAAACCGTTTGGCCACGATGTGAACAAAAAGGATTTCGGTAATCCTGCATGAAGAGAGTAATGTGCAACATCAGTGTAGTGTGCACAAGTCTCCAGATAACATAGCAGTAACAAGACAAGCGTTCCCGTACATTTTATTATTTGTAAGCTTTATTTTTCTTTTCATAATGAAATTCCTTTATTAGTAGTAAAGTAATACTTCCTTAAAGTTATACACATTTTAAATGTTGTGGATAGCTCATTATCTGCCATTGTTTTTACGACTCCTGCACAGCTTAAAAAAAATTCACACAGGGATAATAAAGTATTATTCTATCTTAACTTCAATCGGTAACAGTAAACTACAGCCTTCCCTTCGGGACTTACTTGATCAAGTACACTCAGCCAGGGTTCCACTCTCAAATGGGCCACTTTTGGGTCGTTGAAACGTCTTTTGAGTTTTTAAAAATGTATTATAAGAATGGAAATTCGAAATTAACTTTTACTCTTTATTCTACCTCTTGTGACGTTTTTGTCCTACTCAGCACAATGACAAAAGAAGTTGTTTATTCCTGTACATTTTTTAATTTCTTGAAAAAGAAGCCAAGGTGTAACTACGATTATACTGGTTTGGAGAGTATTCTTGGTGTTGACAAGAGCGCTGTGTGTAGAGTAGACTCTATTTCTCCCCCCCCCC